GTTGTAACAGTGCCCACCTCATCAGGGAGTCTTACTGGGAACTGTGCTAACAGATGTAGGGAGCACTTTCTCGGTTCGAGCAGCTCATTGTCAGAGAAGTACATGGAAGGTGAAGTTGAGCAGAGTGCTGTCAGCGCCTTTCTCTGGAAGGAAATGAGTCAGGTGTGGGGGTGGCTGTGTTTGCTTGATCCCTGGCTGCAGTGGGGTCTGGGCCAGGGACTGTGGAGGGGGTCCTTGAACTGCTGACACCCCATTGTTATGAAGGAGGGTTGAAAGCACTCCAGACCTCGCCTGAGGACTAGATTTCAAAGGAAACCATTTACCTTGAAGGCTATTGTCCTAAATGTCAGGGAAGCAGCAGGCTGTCCTGTCACTTGTTTTCACTGAGGTTACAATGCGTCCTGCAGACTGAGCGCTGGTTTTATAGCTTTGGAACCAGTATAAACAATGACATGCAGAAACGCTGGGACGCATGCTGGTCCCCTCTGAGCTCACTTTTATTTCTCATCCAACAATGGTAGGTGGCACTTTGGGGCCATGAGTTCCCCCCAATGCGCTGGGTACACTGCAGGGAGGTAGGGACAGAGTGTGAGTATGCAGTCATCCCTGAGCTGCAGGTGTGGTAGAACAATCTGGAGAGGAGTGGGGTGTCTTGGAGCCAGAAAGCCCCTCACAGAGTGGCCTTTTCCGCACCCCCATCCTTCACTTACTGGATGAACAGCTGGAGAGCAGGGAGGGAACCTACCTGACTTGCAGAGACGTGAAGATCAGCAGTGGCAGTCCTGGGACCAGAGCCGTGGCTGGCTCTCTGCTGACATCTGACTGTAGTGAAGTCTTTTGAAGGAGCTGAAGAGCTTTTGTCCGAAAACATTTTACAGAAATACATTTGTCAATGAAAACATTGTTTCAGTGGGTTGAACTTCTTGACTGTTTTCATGATGACATTTGTGGTGATGTGAAATGTAATGGTGATGGTGGTGGTCATGGTGTTAGAGGTGGTGATGGTCATGGCGGTGGTGGTGGTGGTGGTGATGTGACAATGAAGATGACGTTGATCCAATGGTGGTGGTGACGGTGGTTATGATGGTGGTGGCAGTGGTGATGGTGGTGGTCATGGCGTTAAAGGTGGTGATGGTCATGGCAGTGGCAGTGGTGGTGGTGGTGATGTGACAATGAAGATGACGTTGATCCAATGGTGGTGGTGACGGTGGTAAAGATGGCGTGACTGTGATGGTAGGTGATTATGAAAGTGATGACGGTAAACTCTGAGAAGGCTTACAATAGAAAGGGGGAGAAAAATGAGAAACAAAACTTAAAACCATAAACACAGTCCTGGCTTACTGGCCTGAGGGAGACTGTGGAACCCCCAAGACTATGGCTTTTTGTCATCCGTCAAGCCTCGAAGTGAAACCGTCCCCAAGACTCAACCTCCCGCCAAACAATAGTCTTGCAGGGTGGTCAGCACAAGCAGGGAGGGGCACACTCCTTGGAATGAGCAGGGATTCCAGGAGAAAGAGGACTCCGAAGGTGGAGGGATAGAAGAGACAGAGAAGGGCGAGTGAGCCACGAAAGGGGCAGTGGGGAGGGTCGTGCTGCAGTGTGGGCTGGTCGTCAGGACCACACAGCGTAACCTGTGTCAGCTGTTGGCTGGAAGAGCAGTTTGCTCTATTATCATTCTCTCAAACCATGACAACAAGCTTAAAAAGAAGATAAAAGAGCGTGGTGGTGGGGAGAATGATGATAGCTAGTGCTTACTGAGGATCAACCCCCACAAACGTCACGTTTTGATCCTCACAAACCCCCATGACCTTGGCCCTCTGCCTTTTATTCCCATGGTAGAAGTTAGGAAGTGCAGCTCAGAGACACAGTAAATGGCAAAACTGGAATCCAAATGAGAAATAAGACTAAATGAGCCATCTATTGAGTGTTTATTATATTCTGACTTGTGTGTTATTGTTTTCTATACTTTGTTGAATGCTAGTCAGCCTGCATTTTGGGAGGCAGGCTCAATTATTTCCCGTTTTATAGATAAAGGAACCAAGCCTCTCAGAGTTGCAGTGACTTGTCCGGGATCTTACAGAAGTTAAGGGAGGGAGCAAGGAAGCCATGCACTGATGTGACCTCCTCAGCTCTGCTCTGCTGCCATGCCCAGTGCTACCTCACAGCCTCCTCTTTTCACCCCAAACCTGCCAAGCCGACCAAGGGACCCTGCATTCCTGCTCAAACCTGCAACACTACACCCCCCTTCCCTCAGACGCTTCCCTCTCCAACATAGACCTTCACGTACAGCCATCTACCCATATCTTAGAGTCAGAAGATCCCTGGTAAGATCTGGGGCCATTGTTTTAATGGCTTCTGTTGCCTACCACTAAATCCCAGTTCAAGAGTTGTCTTAAAAGTCTGTCAGTGAACGGAGATTCCCCCTGCTTCCCCAGCCCTACTGTACCCCCGGCACCCCACAGTTTAGATTAGTCATTTCTCCATCAATTCCTCAACCAGGTCTTTATATTTCTGTGTATAGACAGCCTCCATGTCAGCTGACACTTGAAAAGAGACTACTGAAGAATGATTGAATGAGCAGCCTTAGTAAAATTTTTCTTTCTTCTTTTGTGTTTTCTCCCAAGGGAAGTAAAGGAGAGCACGGCGTAGATGGGGAGGTTGGACAGAAAGGTGATCAGGTAATAAAAACAATTTCCTTTATCACGAACCTTCACCCTCAAGAAGCAGCGAGTTTCCTTCTTAGAAGCAGCCCCGGCGTTGCTTGTACTGAGATCATTCCTTATTGTTTCTTCATCTGTGACTGAAATTTTAGAAGTTCTCATTTTCATGGTCACATTTTGTTATTTCTGCTTCACCGTCATCTCTGTTACCCTGAAATGATCTGAATAATTGGTCTTTTCTCTCTTTAATTTTGAAGATTTACCTTGAGAATTTCTTGCCAGGAATGGTAGTCCTTCTCTATAAAACATCCCTTTCTCCTCTCCCCTCTGCCTACTCATTTAAAAAAAAAATTTAAACAAAGTTTTAATTTTATACTGGTTTACTTACAAAGTTCATATTCGTTGTTCTTCACACAAGATCTTTCCCCTGTCCTGTGCTGTCCTCTCCTCTCTGGCCCACTTGAGACCTTTCCTGTGTCGGTCCACCTCATTGAGGGTCTTCCTCTCATTCACTGACCCTCCACCTTTCCAACCATGATGTCCCTTTGTTCTAATCTCTTGTTCTTACAGTGCACTGTAAGACTCAGGGCTCAGAGCTCACCCTCCCCTGCATTTTCAGAAGCAGTAAATCAGATAAGAGGAGCCTGCCCGTTCTTCCCCCGTGGAGCAGCTGGTGGATTTGAACCTTTGGGATTGTGGCATAGTTTCTTACCACTTGGCCACCACATCTCCTAATCTAGTCATTCAAATCTTGGTATTTGAACAATAATAAATGCCAATAATATTTTTCAATATCAATTTTAAGCATAGTCCTCTGTTTCTTAGGGCCATCCTGGAATTCCAGGTTTCATGGGGCCCCCAGGGAATCCTGGACCACCGGTAAGTAATGTCTTTTGATTCTGTTTATCCTTGACATCTGAGCCTATTTCTGTACTTATTGAAAGTGGCAGCTTAATCAATCTGCCTCTCATTTTATCAGGTGGGAAGGGATTGAGATGTGCCTGGGACGAGCTAGAAGGGCAGGCCCTCTGGGATTGGGACATTGTGGGAAACCTTATTAAATCCTCCTAGTTGTCCTTGTCACCACAGCTGCTGGCCGATGCTGGGGGAGCGGACAGAGACAGTGGTGGGGGCATATTAACCGGGCGCCCGTGGGAGTGGAGTGAGGGGAAGGAGATGAAGGCAGAGAGTGGCCATTCTCTCCTGCTGCCCCTCCCACCTCTGCAGCGGGAGCCCTGGGCTCTGCAGTCCACGCCCTGGCGGAGCCCACATCCAGAGCCACACCTCTGCCTCGCTTGGATCATGCTCCAGTGTGAAAAAAGACTGAAATTAGGGTCTTTAAACCCATTAAACCAAGATCCAACTGCAGCTTAGTTGCTTCTGACTCACAGTGACTCCCCACCTGGTTCCCAAGGTTCTAAGTCTTTACGTGAGGAAACTACTCATCTTTCTCCCTTGGAGATGCTGACTTTTCTTTCAGCAAACATATTACTGACGGCACCACCAGGGCTCCTTTGACATCTGTTTGGGGAAAAGAATAAACAAAAGAAGAACTGCTTTCCCTTTAAGAAGTACATTATGGGACCATGAACCTCCAGGCATTGTCCAAACAGACCTTGAGTGATAGATTTTATAGAGACGCAGTTCAATCCACAGCAGCAGGGTGAGCGGACTTGCTTTACATATTTTTTATTTTATTTTAATTTTTTTTACCATTTTATAGCACAAGTGTTAGGTTAGGTTAGGTTAGTGCACTTAAAGAAGAAATCAGAGAGAGAAAGCTTAATGCAGCTTTATTAAAGGGGGTTGGGGGGGTGGAAGGGGAGCTCCCGGGTGAGTTCCCCATTGTGGAGAGGCAGGATGGGAAGTCACATTGTGAACTTACTGGGGAGGATTTTTATCAACAGAGTCTTTAGGGAGGGACATTCCATTCTGATTTATGAGCCACCTGCTAGCTTAGCCAGACAAGCAAGGCCATTTGCCTTCTTATCTGAAGCAGGCAAGGCCATCAGCATTTGAGTTCTGAATTCTTCATTCTTCTCTTTGGCCCTCTTTGCCCAGACTAACAACAAGCTTTATAGAGAACAGAATAACATGTTTTGCCATACTGTACTCAGTTCGGCAGAGCCCTGGCTTGGACTGCTCCTTTTAAATATCAGTTGAGGTTTCACACTTTGCCGTGTAGCACGTTCTCCACTGCTCTGGTTACTTGAGCAGCACTGAAGTTGTTCAAAGAGACATTCTTCTCTTGGCCAAATACATAGCGGGCCCAGAGCTTAGGTTGTACACCGGAGCACTCGCAGATTAGGATGGGTAGGTCAGGATTCGCCTTTTTCAGCTCCACGTACTTTTTCTCTGTGAAGTCCCTGATGCCCTGGCTGCCGACTGAGCGTTGACATAGTGGATGTGAATCTCCCACAAGGCTAGTTTTACCTGGCTCCCCCAGATTGCAGCCATTATCACTACAGAAGCCCCCACTTTACATATTTTTAAGAAGCTTGATGGGAAGAAATTCACAGGATAGTTGGAAAGTTAGGGTGGCAAGTAAAAATGGAGAATGAACTTCCCCTCTCCCATAATGACCTGCCTGAGAGGGACAATGTAGAGAATTCCCTGCATTTACTGTAATCACTAACAGTAATAACAAACACACCTGATTTCTGGTCAATATTACTGTTTTTAAGCATTTTGGCTCTACTTGGTGTAATTAGTTGTGATCACGAGTAATTACCATGCACTAGTTAATGCTATCATTTCTAATTCCTTGTTACCATTACCACTACTGAAAAGTTCTGACTTTCATCCTGGGATTGTCTTTAAACCTTAAACCAAAAATACACCCTGAAATCTTGAAACCAATCAATCATTTAGAATATTTAATAAAGAATATTTGCTGATTCCTGGCCCTGGGATCTTCTAAAGAACTCTCTATAAAGGAGGCCATATTGCCAACAGTGGCTGGAGAAATGGGAAATCTGGGGGACGTGATGTTAACGGGGAGGAGCCACGTGGGAAGGAGGATGAGAGATGGTCACACAACTTGAAGAACGTGATCAAAGTCACTGACTTGTACACGTGGAAGTTATTGAATCTTTGCATGTTTTGCTTTGTGTGTATTCAACAACAGCAACAGATGATGTTAAAAATCAGGCAAATGAGTAAAAACCTCCAACAACCCTTGAGTTTTCCCCCCACTTTCCCCTCTGGCTCCCTTCCTGTAACAGCTGTCATCTAGCATGGGTGATGTCCTTCTGAGATTTCTCTCTCTTTTCTTCTTAGTTGGCCCCAGACTAGTCATTGCTCCTTGGCTTTTTTCCAAGGCCATGACTGTCCCCATGGATGCCCTGAGTATAACCATGCAAAAAGCTGGTGAACTCAGTGTCCTTGTCCTGCCCAGGACCAGTCCCCTGGCATTTCCTAGGGGTACTCAGTAGACCAGGCCTCCCTGGCCTTCCAGAGGTCACCATCCTAAATACTGAAACAGAGCCCTCTTCAAGTAGAGGTCAAAACCATCTGAAGCACTGCCCCGTAGCAGCCCTGAGCCACAGCAGATCTGCCCCATGGGGTTCAAAGCTCGTCTTCTGGAAGCAGACTGCCCCCCTTCCTCCCAAGAGCAGCTGTTGGTGTCAAGCCAACCACCTTCTATTTCACACTTGAACGCTTTAACGACTGTGCTACCATGGCTTCTAAGTAGACACCAAGATGCCATAATAAAAAGTGAAATGCAGATTCAGTGGGGGTTTCACATTGGAACATGGAGCTAGAGTGTGTGAAATTCAGTCTGTTCTGTCGTCTTGTTCACAACTTCTCACTTCTAATTGTAACTATATGTTAATTAGAACAAATCAAGTTGCTTTCAATGGATTTCCTCCAAGAAAATTGTATGGGAATTTGAAACAGCACTTTTTACTTTATGATGGATTTATGTGGTGAGAATCAGGAAAGGCAAATTATCTATGAATGTATTTAAATCTTTCCTCATATTCCGAGATCCCACTCCAGTCTTTGATATTCAATTTGGTCACCCTCTCCAAGTATCTTCGCTAACAACATCTTGCCAATCCCTGAGCCTCACTCAGCTTTTGTCCTGTCCAGCCTTGCCAAATGGGCATGGAGGATTATTGGAGGGCATCAGTTGGTTTGTTATACTTTGCCATCAATTTTTAAAATGCTGCATTTTTTTTCAAGGTTGCAATGCCACATAAATTGTTCTGCATCTTACTGCATTATCATCAGGGCTTGTAGCCTCTGACAAGCTGAAAGCAGTGGGAGTGGGGTGAGCTGTAAGGAGAGACATTTGTATTGAACAAGACAGCTGAGAAGGAACTCATTTTGTTTCTGAAATGTTTGTTTTGAATAATTTCATATCACAATTATTTAGCTTTCCTGTACAACTTAATGGTTGAAGGAATCAGAAAATGGATGTTGGGGCAAAGCCACATCCCCCCGCTTCTCACTCTGGTAGTTCCAAAGTCAGCATGTTGCCCATTCAAATAAGACGCAGGCACTGAGAACTCTGGGACAACAGTGGGCCATGGCCCTTGGTTTAGATTTTTCATGTTAGATGATGAATCTGAGGCTCACAAAGAATCCTAATCAGAAGCCAGCTTGTCTGTCCCACACTGATTCATGTTTTCCATTCACTGGGCAGATGTTCTTGGAGCTCCAGGCCCTGGGCTGTTGATTGACTTTGGGCATGGGGGCTGAGTCAGCTGCTGATTCAGGCCCAGCAGCCCGGGAGTCAGAAGCAGCTCAAGAGCAGAACATTACTCCCACCCACCCCGCAAGGGCCGTGCGTTGCTCTGTGAGTGCTTGTTGTAAGTCAGGCAGTGACTGAGGGACCAGGAACCTGGGGACCAAGCCACAAGACTCCATTCTCCCAAGCTTACTTCCCAGTGCTTCGCCAGCATCCCTTCTCCAGATAAAAGCCTTATCTTCTTCCTAATCTGCAACAGGGAATTTGACTCCAATGTAATCCTTTCCAGGTCTCTTAAGAGGTGGCTCAGTGGTAAGGAGCTGTGCTGCCAACCCAAAGGTGTGTAGTTCAGATCCACCAGATGCTGTTTGGGAGCAAGATGAGTAATTGCCTCTGGTGCAATTTACTGCCTCCAAAAACCCACTGGAGGGTCAGCTGGGGGTCAGTTCTGACTCAATAACACATGATAACAACAAGATGATAAAAGCTTTAATCAAAGTTATGTAGAGGGGCACTGACTTGGAGCAGAAACTCCATTGATGTCTAAGCTTTGGACTAAAAATGTAATCTCCCCTGGAGCTCCCCAGAGGGAAGCATGGAGCTTAGGCGCTTTGTTTAAATCTGTCCTCATTTCCCTGGGCCCTAGTGGTTCAGTGGTTGAAGTACTCACTGCTAAACATTATGAGTGCTTTGAACTCATTAGACTCTATTATTCTCATTGTGCCCATGAGTTAGAACTGACTCATAACTGACCCTCCAGTGTATTCTCAGAGGCTGTAAGTCCCATGAGAGGACATTGCCCATTTTCCTTCCGCGGAGCAGCTGATGGATTCAAACTGTGTGCCTTTGTGTTGGCAGTGAAGCTCCTTCCCCACTAAGCCACCAGAGCTCCCTCCATAAAGATCAATGCATTGAAAACCCAATGTGGCAATTCACTCCTATTCTATAGGGATGCTAGGACTCAAAGTCAACTCAATGCCAACAGACCTGGGTCATTTTAGACTCTCTCCTGAAGATGAATGCAAGGGTTCGTATTCCTGCCTCCTGCCCCAGATGCCCCTGACACACAGCTGGAATTGTCCACTCTGCAGGAAGACCGTGAATGTTGGCCAAGGGGTGAGGAGCTGTTGGGTGCTTTGTCCCTTTCTGAAATGCTGCTGTGGTTCCTCCCACTTCTTATATTGGCAGAGAAGGTAGAAACATTTTGAGGTCAAGGCAGGATCCTGCCTGACTGGGCTACATTTCAAACATCCATGTTTTCAACTACCGCCTGGGTGCTCACCTGATTGTACCACGAAGTGACCATCAGGTACACAGAGGAGGATGCTGGTACCTCTGTTGACCACATTCCTGCTTTGTCCTCCTCAGGGAGCGGATGGAATTGCGGGAGCTGCTGGACCACCAGGAATCCAAGGGCCTCCGGTGAGCATCTCAAGGCACCAGCCTTTACTTGCCATGTGGGTCTTACTGACTGCCTGCAGCCTTTCACTGCCCTCCCGCCCTTCAGGGCTCACACAGTCTGAGATTCTACTTGATACAAGTCTCATAGGAGATCATAGGAAGAATCTCTTTATGGTTTCTTCACCAATAACATAAACCTTTGGAGGAAATGATGAGGTGACATCTATTTAAAAATTCAGCTTACAGCCATCAATGCCAACAGAATCTAGGTTAATCCATCTCCCTGTTCTACTCAGAGAACAGAAATAATTGAGCTGAGGTTGTGTTCCAGGCAGAAGGTGGCCTGTGTCATCCTTTGCTGCTTAAAAAAGTAAGGTGAAGTTCAGAACGAGTCCACACTGTATCAAGGTCCACACCGTACCAAGGTTCCACAACCACTACTTGTGGGGCTAGCCTTTGACCCCCCAGCTCCTAACACAAACCCCAAAATCATTTATATAGGAAGCTGCCGAAATGGCTCTTGGTTTTAACGTCGTAAAGTAAAAGGGTGACGCTCAGGACACCAGACATTTTGCTGACACCCAAAGCCTGCATGGCGTCTAAAGGAATGTAAGTGCATTAAGTTGTCACTGACTGTTAGTTACTGTCAGGTTGGCTCTGTTTAGAGTAACCCATGGACGAGACAACGAGACCTTGATGGTCTCAGCAGGCCTTGAACTTGCTGTCACCACTGTGTCAGCCCATCTCGAGGGTCTTCTTCCTTTCCACAGACCCTCCTCTTTCCCACAGTGCTACCCTTTTCCAGATGCTAACCCCTACCAACGCCATACCCCTAAAAACGGAAAGAAAGCCTCATCTCTTTTCTTTCTTAACATTTTTAAATTATTATTTTAATGAGAGTTTACAGAAAAGTTGGATTTTTCATTCATTCAGTCATTGTTACACCTTTTCCTCTCTACCCTCTACCAGTTTGCTTTTTTGTTTTAAAAAAATATTCATTGTTGCATCATTTCCTCCCTCCCCCACCCCTCCCCCAGTCCACTTTGCTGTGGACCTCTTATTCTGAACTTTCGTCATATAAATAATGTGCGATCATAAATTCCTTTTACACAGTGCCTTCCTTCATCTGTCCCAGTGCAGTGTTCATTATTCTGGCTACATGTCTTCCAAGTCTGTTTTTTAAACATTCCTTTCTAAGCCCATATATAGGTAATATATCCACTATTCTTCCCCAACACCACAATCCAAAAGCATCAGTTCTTCTTTGGTCTTTATTACTCACTGTGCAGTTTTGACATGCACACGAAGCAGTAGGAGAGAAGGCTTGGTTAAGGTGCACCTTGATCTCAGAGTACGCCATTCATTTACCTGTTGCCCCTGTTTGAGAACTGAGATGAGCAGGCAGCAGGACAGTCTAGTCATCCCTCAGAGAGCGTGTGGCAGGTCCCGGCACACACCCTTGTCTCCAGGAGGCTCTGCATCATGTTTCAAGTCTAAGCAGCAGGTCTGCCCTGCCGGGTGTCCTTCCACTCCACACCCACAGGGAATTTAGGGAACACCGAGTACAATATCTTCTTCATACAAGGTAGTCAAAGCCAAAGGGGTTCAGTACTATGTTATTGTTGTTGATTGCCTTTGAGTTGAGCACGACTCATAGCAACCCTATGAACAAAAAGCCTGAAGCCCCTCTACAACCATCGACATTTGTCAAAGTTCATAGAGTTTCCAAGGCATGTCAGTACTATGATTTCCATAAGTCCACACCTGCAGTCTGGAGTTCCTCCTCCAGCGTACTGTGTGGATGGGTTGGAGCTGAGAAGGAAGGATGCGGAGATTGAGACATCACAGGCGCGGGTCTTTTCAGGATGATTATCTGGCCAGTTCTTTTGGATCAGGCTGCCTAGAAGTTCCACCATGAATAAAATATAAAACATACTGCAGGCGTTTTTTTCATTGATTTTCTTCAGACAGCAAAAGATTTCCCCTGTAAAAACCAACGGACTGGACTGTTCGCCTGAGGAAAAAAATGTGGAGCTTGACTGTAAAATCATTATATTCTTAGGAACGAAACCTTATTTTAAAAGATTTTGATTACACCTTGAAAGTTAAGGGCTTGCTTGAAGCTGTCCATGGTCCTGATGCTGTATCATAAACCAGAATGTAACTGATGTCTTCTGGTCCTGTGTGAATGGTGGTTGTTATTGTTAGGTGCCATTGAGCCAAGTCCGACTCCTGTGAGCCTGTGAGCACAGACCCGAGCCCTGCCGTGTCCTGTGCTGTCCTCACCGGCTCTGACACGCTTGTACGAGCGGCAGGTCTCGCTCTCTCCTCTCTCACACACATGTACTAGTACACTCACAAGAAGAAGGAAATTAAATAGGCCACAAGAACAAAAAGGAAAGATATACACAAACATTTATCATTATATTTTTAATTACAACATATAAATGCACATCTATTGCCAATTTCTTGGCATAAGATTAGGATGACCAGCCATTGTTCTTTTTTTCCCCTTTGTAACAAGTGGTTTGGGACTTTGAGACGCCTGGGAGACCACCTGAATGTAGAAGCTTAGACTTCTAGAAACTCCTCCAATCTTGTAGAGCTATTTTGTAGCTCTTTTTAGTGAATTATCTCCATCAAATGTTTTCAAATCATGAAATTAATTTGTACCAAGTTATAATTGGAGACAGCAAGTAGAGTGGTTGGATGAGAAGCTGGGGTGGCAGTGTGTCCGCGGCGAGGTGTCGGGGTGATGTGGGGAAGAGGGTGGGGGGATTGAAGGGTGTGAGGACAGTCATCAGTGCCACCGGGCTGCACGAGGAGAGGTGGCTGTGATGTTCTTCTCGGTGTATTTTCTCTCTCTCTCTCACACACACACACACACACACACACACACATACACACACACACACACATTTTTAAGAGTCCGCCATAAAGACTGATCTGTGCTTTCACGTCTTTTACCTTTAGGGGAAGGAAGGCTCAGCTGGACCCCCGGGCCCCCCTGGATTACCAGGCATCCCAGTAAGTGCACATTTTTTTTAAAAAGTGTAGTTTCTGTGTTAAAAAACACATATGTATTCCATCTGTTTGAAGTGAAAATGTTCATTAGAGGAACTTTGTGTCTTAGAAAAAAATGCAAAGAAGAGTGACCCCCAGCTTCTTTGCCAGCCAGACCCAGCCAGACGGCACTTGGCTAAGTGGCCTTTGCTTCAGGCCGTGTGCGCTTTTGGTTTTGTTCACTCTTTAAACCATCTTTTCACTGGCAGAGTGCCGGGAAATTGCTTCGCAAATCTGGGGTAAAGGAAGTAAAGAACAAGCAAGTATGAGAGAGAATGAGCTACACTTGCCTGACCACTGTGACCTGCCTGTCTGAAGGACAGACAGCCCCGCAGTGGGCCCAACCCCTGGGCTGGCTGTGGTCTCAGGGAGAAATCGAACAGAACAATGGGACACCGCTGATGTGGCCTGTGCTGTGCAATGTGATAGCTAGAAACATGAGCTGTGTGAGTCCAGGAATCAACAAGCAAGTGACTGGAGGACACCGGGGCTTCCAGGGGAAGTGAGATCTGTCCTCTTGGACCAAATGTCAATGAGAAATACCAGTTCCTTCCACTGCCACCTGTTCTGTGAAGGACACAGGACTCAGACGAAACAACACTTCGTGATTACTGCATTTATTCCAGGAAAAACAGCTGACTGCCCCATTGGCTCCGTGCTGGCTCCATGCTCAGCTCCATCTAAAAGAAGCCCCTGTGTTCGTGGATGCCTGGAGTCGGCATATGGAGCACAGAGCCAGCAAGGCATCGGGAGCTGCTCCTTGGCTTAGATCTTGCTCTTGCTGCTGTTGTCAGTGTGCTCTTGAGTTCGAGCTGGTTCGTAGCTGACCCTGCAGCAGGACTTGAGAGGCTGCAGATTACACAGAGATCGTCCAGTCTTCTCCTGCAGAGCAGCTGGTGGATTCCACTCACCGGCCTTCCGGCCGGCAGCACAGCTCCCTAACCACCAGGCCACCAGCTCCCGTAGTGTTAAAGCAGGCAGGCATTACTCAACAGCAGCTATTTCACTGATGTATGTATTATGTGCTGTCGAGTTAGAAGTGACTCGTAGCTCACCCTCCAGTGGGGTTTTGGTGGCTGTAAATTGCATGGGAGGAGATTGTCCACCTTCCTCCTGTGAAGTAGCTGAGGGTGGATTCAAACCCCCTGCCTTTGGGTTGGCATCACAACTCCTTAACCACCAGAGCTTCCTTATCATGGGTTACACATTAATGTAAGCATGCATCACTCGATATCAACTTCACAGCCCGTGGGATTGGATACTGAGGGATTTAGATGTTAGATGAACATAAACCTTAGTGGAAACCTATGTCTGGTGTGCTGGTCACCACTGCAGGGGGTGCTGACAATGCTGACAGGGTGGGCAGTGGTGACAGGAACAGCGCGGTGAGCGAGGAGAAGTGAGCGAAGAGGAGTGAATGTGCACCGTCCTGACACATCAAGGGCAGCCCGGGCCCCTGCAGTCCACACATCACCGCCACCACCTGCCAGCAGACACAGCCAGGGAGCCTGGGTCCAGAGTGATGTCCCCTGCCTCATCTGCTTGCATCCCACCTGCAGCCCAGAACCCTGAGAGTCTGGACTGGAGTGTTTTGACCTGTTAAAACAAAGCCCCAACTATTACTGAATGACCCGTGGTGACCCCTCATGGGTTTGTGAGGGAGCTGACTCCTGGTTGACCCTCCAGTGGGTTTTCAGAGGCTGTAAATCGCACAGCAGAATGCCCATGTGTCTTTCAAGCTTAAAATTCTAAGAAGGAAATAATGAGCAAAAAGAGTTATATCCCTCTTTTAAAAAAGTAAAGCAAAAGCCTCTGGGACCATGGACATGTATGTGGACAGACGTTGCCTGAACTGATGTTAAGTGACACACACCTGTAAGTTGTTATCAGTACCACCACGATGCTGAATGACCTCAGTGAGCTTGACAGTATGTCACAGCGCTGAGTCTGTGCCTGTGTCAGGGCGTTGGACATCCTCTGTCCTTACAGGTCACGCCAGGAAGGTGGAGCGTGGTCTGCGATGCAGTTGTCAGGGGACAGTCTGCCTTCTTCTGAAAGCCAAAGCTAATTCTTAGGTTGTTAGGTGATCCACATGCATCCCATGCTCCTCTCCCTCCCCTTCCAGGTGACCCAAACACCTGTCCCTCAGGGTCCTGACCACCTCCAGCCTGAGTCCATTAGCCTTCCTGCTGGACAGTTCCCCTGTTACACTGGATGGTCTTGCATCTGCCCAGCTCTTCCGCCCCCGCCTCTTCCTGCTGCCTCCATGCAGGGAAGTGGCAAGTGGCCTCTGGAGTGAGACTTTTCGTTGAAAAAGGGATCACCTCAGCCTGGCCTCCCGGACAGCCCCGCTGGCTTGTTTGGGGTTTGCACTCACGGGTAGTAGCAGGTATATGTTGTTCATGGAGACGGCGTCCTGGATGGTCAGTAAATTCAGGTTTCTGTCCTCAGTGATGTCCACCAGGGCCTGGGTGCTGATGTGGGTGCTGCTAAGGGCCAGCACCTCAGTTCATCAGCAACCTGGTCCCATTTATGGACTCTGTTCAGCATCACAAGACCCTCTGGTGGCTCAGTGTTAAGGTATTGCCAGCACAAAGGCATGAGGTTTGGATCGACCAGCTGCGCTGGGGAGAGAGATGGACAGTCCCCCTCCGTGTGATTGACAGTCTCTGCACACCTGGCAGAGGGTCAGCTCTTAGTCACTTCCAACTGTGACGCAAACCGACACAGTGACTGTGCGGGGCCGGCTGATGACCGCCGCGGTGCGACAAGGGTCTCGGAGATTCCACACCTTGTCCACAGTCACGAGGCTGGTGGGTGAAGGCAGGATTCCAGCCTTGCACCGTGTACTCACTTCCGCTCTGCCTCTCAGCCTCACTGCTGCTGGGACGCAGCTCCCAAGACCCCGCCTGCTCGGTCCTGCCCCCCACACTGGACTTCTTTCTCTTGTCCATGGCCTCCTGCACAATCAGCTGTGGCTTAGATAGACCCAGGGCCGCAGTCCCCACAGGGTTGCTACCCCAAGGGCTCCGTGGCAGTGGCTTTCACTGGGTCAGGGGACCACCCTCCAGCTGGTGGCCAACATCATAGCTTGATTTCCTGAAACCCGCTGTCGTCCTGTCAATCCTGATGCAGGGCAGCCCTGTGGGACAGAGTGGAACCGTCCAGTGAGGTTTCTGAGGCTGTAAATGCAGGTGGGAGCAGACTGCCTCACATTTCTCCCACAGAGAGAGAGGCTGGTGGACTTCAACCCGACCCTGAGGTTACCAGTGCATTGCTTAATTCACTGTGCTACTAGGGAGCCTGATTTCATGGGGGAAAGAACATATTCATGACCTTCCATTATCCCAGCACAGCCCTGACTATCAGCCGTGCTCACACCCCCGGTTCTGCATGTGACTTGTTGTCCTTGTCGTCAGAAGCCACGTGTTCCTCCCTCCTCATTGTGTGCAGTCCACGCGGCCCAGGGTTCAGCTCCCGCTGTGCTGCTGTGGCTTCGTGAACGTCCCAGCAGGGCTTCCTCACATCAACAGCAGCAGTGCCGGCACCATTTATCACGTTCCCCGTCCCATCAGTGCCGAGCATCTCACAGCCTCCGCTCAAGCCTCAGTCCCCGGAGAGACAGGAATCAAATCCCTTCTTCCCTCCACTGCCTGCTGCCAGCGAGCATGCCTGCGTTCTAGGGAAATGTGGCTGTTAAATCCATGTTGGGTGTTCGTCCGTCTCATCATCTGTGACCTGGTGACCCAGCTGAGCTTCTTCCACAGGGAGAAGAAGGCAAAGAGGGCAGAGATGGAAAACCGGGGGCCCCTGGAGAGCCGGTAAGGAAGGGACTCGTCAGTTCTTGTGCTGTTGTTTCCTAGAGTAGTATTTATTATCTCAGCGGCCACGGCAAGCAGAGCAGCAGTGTGAACCGAACAGTGAAACCGGCTTCTGTGTCTCTATTCATCGTGGGGAACCTGCTGGTAAACAGCACCACCCCTATTATAGAGCTGGGGAAACTGAGGCCTGGAGCGGTGACCTGATGGCCTCAAAGCTGGTGCAGGCCTGGAGCCTGAGCCCGGCCTTCCTGCTCCTTCTGCATTTTCTGCTTAGCTGCCACAGGTAGCCCTGGTTCTACTGATGTGGGAGGGAAACTGAGACACGTGGGCACTGCCTGGCGTGGCCCTCTGATAAAGGGAAGGACTTTGCAGTCTGTTGCTGTCCAGTCAGTCTCTGGTACCTGGTGGGCCCAGCACGAGGGGGTAGCACAGAGCAGGTGCTGCCTCATCGCCATGGTCGGTTCTGACCAGCCTGTCGCCCTGCACGGGGTCCTGATGACTGGTGTTCTGAGCTGCACCGCCCTGCCTTCTTCCTAGTCCGCCTGGCCTAGAAGCTCCCCTGAGATGTGTTCCGTGTCGGAGCAGCACCTGCCTCCCCTGGCACAGGAGTGGTGCCAGAGCACGAGTTCTGTTGGCTGGGCGTGGCACTCAGCTCTCTGCCAGAACGATATCACCGGCCTGCCAGCTGCCCCGTGCCTGAGGGTGTCACATCCCCTGGGAACCTCGGGCCTCCTCCCCTCTAGCTCAGGGTGTTGTGAACTTTCTCCCTCTCTAATCCGACACACAGCTTTTCATTGTTTCTTTAAAATCTGATGCCCGGGAACGCACAATGAAAAGAATCAAGGGCTCATGAGTGTGCGATGATCATTTCATTACTGGGGTCAGACCAACTCACAGCTGCCTCTCCAGCGAGTTCTCAGAGGCTATAAACTGCATGTATATAAATGATACATTGTGAGGAAGGTGCCCGTCTTTCTCCCTTGGAGGCCCTGGTGGTTTGGAACCAGCAGATAAACCATCTAGCGGAACCGCCTCTGGCTTTGTAGTGCGCTCCCTAGGGCCTGGGCTCCCAGAGCCCCCTGAATATGTAACATAGAGAGTCAAGTATCTATACACGTCTGTATACATGAAGTCATAGACGCACGTGTTTGTTGCTAGATGCCACTGAGTCGGCTATGACTCGTAGGCGCCCTGTGAAGCGCACATGTGAACCTGCCCTCTCCCGCTCCATTCCCGGGAGCTCTGAAACACTCACCCAAGGTGACTGATGACTCCATCAGCTGATCCTTGACCTTTGCCCACAGGATGTCCTTTTCTGAGGACTGATGTCTCCTGACAAAATGCCCCGCGGACGTGAGGTGAAGAGTCACCGTCCCCACCTCTAAGGAACACTCTGTCTCACTTCCTCCGAGACTCTCTAGCTTGTCCTTTTTGCACTTACGCTATTTGTTACCTATTTTATTTCTAGTTTTCGCTCTTCAGAGCGCTGGAAAGGGTGGTCAGTATCCACAGAAGAAGAATTTTGAGCAGCTGGGACACAGAAATAATGAGATGGTGGTTCTGTGCCCTGTAGTATTTTAATTTGCCAATATCTCTTTTTAAAAAGATTTTGGAATCGTGCGTGCATTGTTCATTTATAAAATTAGATGGAACATATGACGAATTACTAATACTGTGTGAGAACTAATAACTACAGAAAACCTTGAAAACTGCGATCAGTGTAAGGCCGAGAGCTGGGAAGAAGGAAAACTCAGGGCGTGTTTCTGACGTGGGGTTTTTAGTGGAGCTGTAGAAAGTGGTTGCACTGCCCCCATCAAAGATGGAAACCCTCGGGGCCTGGAGATGCCAGGCACCCCTGATGAGTTCCAGTTCCTGCAAGTTTCCTGTGATAATAGTCTGATGATCGGGGATGCTGCTAACCTCCTTGTAGACCTATGGCCTGCCTGGGTGCATCAGAAAGCATCCCAGAACCTCAGCTCCCTTAGAGATAGGGTGAGAGAAATAAGACCAACTTGTGGTTTATTGCTGGAGAAACAAGTGGGGCGCAAAACTGGTTAAATGTGGCCCACTAACCTGTTAGTTGTACCAACTTCCTTCTCCCGACAGCCCCAGTGTTAACCTCTGGTGAGGTAGGAAGTTCTGATCCTTTAAACTTGAAGTGGAGTTACAGAAGAGCTTCTATAATGTGGTTTATATTCCAGTCAGTCTGTGTGGTCATGAACCACTGTGGCTCATTCTGATGTTTGTAACCTGCCATGAGCACCTCCTCACTCATCATTTCACCCGGGCTGCCGGATGCTGAAACCGGAGCTCACTGCTGGGAGGAAGAGGAAGGCTCTCTGCGGCAAGGGCCGGGAAGGCTCCTGCAAAGCTGAAGGCTCCTCCTGGCCGCAGAGCTGCCCCTGGGCAGGGAGCCATAGTCAGTAGCCTTGTGGAGAGGTGGAGGGACAGGCAGGACTCGCCACCTTGGGGACAGCAGCTCTTTGCACACAGAGTGCTTCCTCACGTCCCCAGGTTCTCCCGTAAGGCGTCCAGAGCCTTGTTGGTGCACACACTGTACCAGATTAGGAAACAAAAGCACCCAGAGATCAAGGTGTTTGGCCAGTGTGTAAAGTGCTTTGTAATTCTGTTGTTGGGTGCCATGGAATGGGTTCCCTCTCACAGTAGGAACCATACTTAAACAGAACAAGACGCCCAGTCCTCACAATCGCTGAATTTATATCCAAGATGTCTGTATCATTTCTCATCCAGACCAGAGCCCATACGAGGGTGCAAAGGGGCATAGCAAATGCCATGGAACGGTGTGAGCAGGACTACCCGCGAAAGCCAGGAGCACATGAAGGGCGCCTGATGGCTTGTCTGTGTGGACTGCCATGCTCCCAGTTGCCAAGGTCAAGGGTTGGCAGCAGAGTGAGCGGAGGCTGACTGACAGCAGTAGACTGCAGGGGAGCTCAGGCAGCTGGGAATCACAGACTCAACCTCTCTTCTCTTCATTATCAGGGCAAAGCTGGAGAGCCGGGCCTGCCAGGACCAGAGGGAGCACGAGGCCCACCTGTAAGTGCCAAGAGGGCACGTGTGTGTGTGTGTGTGTGTGTGTGTGTGTGTGTGCGTGCGCACGCATAGGTATGGTGTGTGAGAATATGTGAGCACATGTGCATGGATGCGGTGTGTAAGAATACGTGTGAGCAGGTGACAACTATATGTGTATGGATGGTGTGTGTGTGCATGAGTGTGCATGTGTACACGGGTAGGGTGTGTAAGAATTGGTGTGCACATGTATGAGAAAGTGTGCGATGGTGTGCCTGATTTGTATGGTTGGTTTGTGCACATGTGCCCATGTCTGCATACATGGGGAAAAGTGTATGCATTGCTGTGGGCACCTGCGTGTGTGTGTGTGTGCGTGTGTGTGTGCGCATGTGTGCGTGTATGCACACACAGATAAGAATGCATTCATACGCCCACATGTGCTGCTGTGTGCACAGATGAGCGTGTGACGTATGTTCGTGCTGTGTGTGTGAGTCTGTGTCTGTGTGTCCGTGTGTGAATGTGCAGGTGTGTTGGGGATTTGATGGCGGGTGTGGATGGCTGATAGGGGGGTTCCCGGGGCTGTTTCCATCTGAGACAGCGGTGTTCTTCCTCAGAGATCCCGTTCCCACACACCATTGTTGTAGAACTTATTTTCAAATCGCAGTCCTTACTGTACATTTTTTACTTTGTTTTTATGTGGTTATTATGTTTGATGAGTTTTCTCTCCTTGAATGAGGAGGATGATAGGACCTAAAAATTAGTATTAATTTTAGTTTTGCACAACTTCCCATAGCTAGAGTTTTTCTCTAATTACAAAAAGAATCTCTTCTCACAGCATCATAGTGATGATGCAGTGATGGTGACAATAAGGAAAGAATTAGAAGAATGATTTGGAGAAGAAAATCAAGTTACTTTTATTCTGTAGTCCAGATGCTAAACTGTTCACATTCTAGTTGACTTTATGATATTTTCCTCAAGTCTGTTTGTCTAAGATGAATGCCAATATCTGGTTATCCAAATCTGTGTATGTATAATTATTTAGTATATGGAATATACAAATTTAATATGCACTAATTTCTTTCTCATAAAGATGAATTCAGACAATACATTACATTTTATTCTTTTTAAAAATCTTACCAAATGCTCCAGTCTTTCATAATTTTCAAATTGTTGACATAATTCCTTAAACTGCTTTTTTGGGAGAAATATGATCTTAATGAAAATCCCCAAATCCAGTAATCTGGAAAGAAGTAGCAGATCATAATGCAAGCTCTATTTAATTAATATTGTCTTTCAGTAAACAACAATTTTTTCCAATAAATTATATGGCAAGTATTCAATAAGAAGGAAATAAAATGCAAAATCCATTTCCTTTATTACAAATCCCCCTGCTTTCACCTGAGACTGTGGGGGATGGAGACTCAGGGTTTGTCATGAACCGCTGAGGTCCTTTCTTACTGGGAAGGATCTCTGATGCTCTGGTGCCTTGTGTCTTGTACTGTTGTTGTTGTTTTGTGCCATCACGTC